TTGGGCACTGGGCCCACAATAAAAGTGCTCATATTCTTCCTCACCAATGGGGAACCCTATGCCAAATGGTACACCAATGGACCGTTGGCAACCGGACCTGAGTTCGAGCGCTGGTAGAATCTTTTTTTTTTCTTTTCTTTTTTTTACAAAATGCTCCCATCTATTCGTGGGAAGCAGCACGTAGAATCAGCGGAGTAAAAACGATTTTGAGTTACCTGCGCCCATTGGGTGCGATGATGATATATCGAGCCCGGTCCCCGAAGGCAATCCCCCTCCTTAAACTGCCGCTACCTTTCAAAGTGTTTGGAAAAGCGGGAAATATAACCTACAGCGCATCCTTCGGGGACCGAGTCGGATGGCGGCCGCTGTTGATAAATGTCATCAGCGGCCGCCTTTTCATTTCAAGCATCCAGCTAAATGATGAACGGGGACCCTCGCCGTGGCCCATGTACATGAAAGGTAGTGGTCCTTTAAAGAAAGAAAAAGAAAGAAACAAATAAATAAAAAAAGAAAAAAAAGAAAATGGCAGCACATGTTTCAGTTGCCATTAAGGAAGAAGCATATGAAACCTCGGCGAGTCCTCAAGGAAGTATCAGACTTTGAGGCTCCACCATAATAGATATTGGAATTGCAAAAATTGCGGCCAACAGCGAGCGAGAAATGGCGATGCCAAGTAAGTGGGATCTTCATCCAGTTGGGCGAATGACTTCTTCCCACATTAGGCAAAATCTATTGGTAACATTATTATAAAATTAGGAAAAAGAAAGAAAAAGAAAGAAAAAGAAAGAAATGCGAGCGAGCGAGAAATGGAGACACCAAGTAAGTGGGGTCTACATCCAGTTGGGCAGATGACCCCCTCCCACACTAGGCAAAATCTATGGGTAATATTATTATAAATTAAGAAAAAGAAAAAAAAGAAAAAACCCATGATGGCTGCATGGGAGTGTGGAGTCCAAGAAGCTTGGAGCTTCAAGTTCTTGGACAAAAAAAAAAAAAAAAAAAAAAA